AACACTCAAATCAATATACCTGGGGTTGGGGCTCAGCATGGGTATTTTTTTTTTTTTTTTTGAAAGCTCCCGAGGTGATGCTAATAGACAGCCAACATGGAGAGCTACAGCTCTACGTTCTGGAATTCTATGATTCTAAGACTCGCATGACTACTCATGCAGGTTAAAAGTTCAGAGTTGTTTTTTTCCTTATTCTGTGTAATCAACTTAGTCTGTGCTGATCTATTTCTCCCTAAAGAAACAATGAAATGTTTTTCCAGCCATGCAAGTTAGAACTTTGTTTGTTTTATTTTTTAATGAAGCTCACATGAATCCAATATACTGCCAAGGCTGGGGAAAAGATGCATTGAATTTGGGATTTTAAGGTTGATGAGTAACATGTAATCTTTTCCTGGGGCTTCTTCTTACACCTGCCTTTTTCTTCATGGAAGCACCTGCTTTGTTCCTACTAATAACAAGGAATGCATTCACAGCGCTTCTAGACGTGAATGTGCCTGCGAATCACTGGGGAATCTGGTGCAAATGGCAGATATGGATTCAGTAGGTCTGGGGTGGGGCAGAATCCTGCATTTCTAACAGGTGTCCAGGTGAGGCTGAGGCTGCTGGCCGGTGGGCCTCGCCTAAGAGAAGCAAGGCATCGGGGCTTAGGGAATTAACTAAGTTTCACCTGGGTGGATGGTGCTTATGCACAGTTGCCCAGCCACACACAAGGAAGTGGACAGCCTATTGACTCTGTTTTCTGCAGCATACACAGAGCAACCTTTTAAATGACATTTGCTCTGATTTGCCCGTTGAAGCATAGTGATGCGAGCACCTGTTATCTCTCTATAACTATGAGCATCTTGAGAGAGAGAGATTGCATCTTCATCCCATCCATGAGACCGAACTCCCCTAGGCCTTCTTCCTTCATCTCAGGGCTGGAGGAGGAGGCTGAAGGCTTGGAGAAGGGTGTTTGAGTAGGACTAACTCCGTGTTTCTCCAGACCTCTAGGCATCCACCGGCAGGGGTCGAGATGGGAGTCCCCGGAAGCCCAAACTGCTCCGTGCTCTCCGGCCCCCTTGCCACCACTGTCTGCCTTGGGTCCCCCAGAAATACTCACATCATGCTTTTTATCCCTGACTGTGTCTGTGACCACAGAAGCCAGGCTCCTGGGTGGCCCCACATCTCGGATTTTCTACTCCCCAGAAGGCTCTGTACATCTCCCGTTCTGTCTCCATCTTCCAATCACAGGGCCCTCCAATGAGCCCTCTGGTTCCACAGTCCTTCTTTCACAAAATCGATTCCGAATGTTCCTTTCACCTGGGGCTCCTGTGAGCGAGCAGTCCTCCCCTGTAGCAGTCCTGTTCGCCCCTCATTCTTCCAAGCCCTGCACCTGGAGGTAGAATGGGTGTCCTCCCTGCCCTGTCTCCATACCGCTGCTCTCCCTCCTTGCTAAAACTCCCCAGCGTTCTCTCCTGTGCCATCACCTTCTAGCCCTCACTACCTCACCTTGTTGCTGTGGCCCACTCCCGGATTTCCTGCCCGGCGTGTGATTACTTCAACTCCTGGCTCACTGTCCCTCCCTCCTGTACCACTTCCCTCCCTCTTCTTGGTGATTTCAACACATACAGATGGACCATCCAACCATCTGTCCTCTCAGTCACTTGAACTCCCCTCCCCCCATCATCTTGTTTGACCTCTTGCCTGGGCCACCCACTCCCAAGGACATAGCTCCCAAATCAATCATTTCAACATCACTGATTTAGTCAGGGAGGGATCAATGCTTTGTAAACTATCACAAAATCAAACAAAATAAGTACACTCTAAGCTTATTTTTGGCTCATGGTGTATCACCCCATTGCAGTTGGGTGGAGAGCCTTCCACGTGATGGTTCAGGGACCCAGGGTCCTTCCAACTTGAGATGCAGCCACGCCCCAGGAACTCACAGTCCTTGGTTGCGTTCTCAGCAGCTAGCTGGCTGTCAGAATTGAGGGAGGGTATGGGATTGCATTGGCGGGGGGGCGGGCAGGGTTGTAGGCCAGACCTAGACAGGGCATATCACATACACCTCATTCCATTTGCCAGAAGTAGTCACTGGTCATATCTAACTGCAAGGAGGAATAAAAAAGGTAGTACAGCCATGGATGTTGGTGAACAACCCCCCCACCCCCTCCAACTCCACCATCCACATGTTCATTGTCATCCATCCCAGTCTCTGACTACTCACATCCTAACCCTCCAGTTCATTCCACTGGGTGCCCCAACTACAACAAGCCTTCAGCCACTGGGACCATGGATCCACGAATACCATCAACTCTCACCATCCCTTGCCCTCTTCCCTTTTTCACCTGCTTCAATTACCTGGTCAATTATAATAATGGCTTCCTTGGCCCCTCTAGCTTCATCACACAGCATGTGTGCTGCCTTCCCACCTAATACAGGGCTGGCCTATCCATGCACCAACCGCCCACCTGTGCTCTCAATTCATCCCCTCCCACCTACTCAAGGGCATTGCTCCAGCAACTCCCTCCTTCTCTTTGGCATCAAGAATCCATCCTTTCCTTATTCTTCTCATCATCACATGAAAGTGCTATAATCACTCCCATTAAAAAAGAAAAAAACAACAAAAGCCTTCTCTGGACGTAATTCTCCTACTCAGCTCCCTGCCATTCCTCTATTTCGTCTCCAAGCTGGCTTTAACCTCTGCACAGCAGACCGCCCCAGTTTGGGTGACTCATGGTCTCCCCATCAGGAAACCCAATGGCCACTTCTTAGTCCTCTACTCTGACCCACAAGCAGCACCTGGCCCAGTGCCTCTCACCTTACCAGCCCTTCCTCATCGTTCTCCTTTGCTGGCACCTCCTTGTCTCCCAGACCTCTTGGGGAGCCCCAGAGCTCAGTCCGTGCACTTTGTCCATTCTCTGTCTGCACTCCCCTGTGACCCCAAGCAGTCCCTGGCATTAAATACCACCTATACCCTGACGGCTCCCCACATGTGCCCCTCCATCCCAGATACTCCTGCTAACTCCAGGTCCAAGGCCTCTTGGACATCTACACATGGAATACAGACTCAAATGACCCAAAGCAAACTTCAGTATTCCTTCCCAAACTGGCTTCACCTACAGTCTTCCCATCTTGCAAGCGACTCTAGTCTTTTAGTTGCTCAGGCAAAAACAAACAAAAAACTCAAAAAACAAAATTTAAAAAACCTTGGAGTCAGTAATTCTACTCTTTCTCTTACACCCAATTCAACCTGTCCAGGAAACCCTGCTGGATTTTCCTCCAGAATATATCCACTTCTCACCATTTCTACTGCCACCATTTTAGTCCCAAGTGCCAAGAGTCTCCCCTGGATTCTTACAGAAGCCTCCTCACTTGTCTCCTCCTTTGTACCTTGACTCTCCTGCAGTCCATTCTCAATGCTGCAACCAAAGTGATGTTGTTATAATACAAGTCCTATCCTCCCCCGTCCTGATCCCCCAGTGGCTCTCTGTCTCAGTCAAAGTCCTGAAATGTCCTACAAGATCTGACATAATCTGGCCATTTTCCCTTCAACCTCATCCCCCATTACTCAACCTCTCTCACTTCACTGAGACCACCCTGGCCTCTTTGTGGTTCTTCACAAAGAGAAGGTTCGTTGAAAGCTAATTAGCACCAAGACCTCAATCTTGTGGCTTTCATCTAGCCATTTGCTGGGATCAATGTCCAATATCAACACTGTCAGCCTTTGCTTGTTTTTCATGCCTCTGCTCCCCTAGCCATCTCCTGATTGAGTCCACTTACACCCACACCTAATAACAAAGAAAAAAAGGAGAAAGGATGGGAAGGAAGATGCGGTGGTATACTGATCCAACCGTGTTCAACTCAGCTCGAGTTTCATGATCACCTGTAAGCTTCTTGCTTGCTTGCTTGCTTGCTTGCTTGCTTGCTTTCGAGAGAGTGCATGAGCAGGGAGGTGGGGGTGGGGACAGAGGGAGAGGAAGAGAGAGAATTTCAAGCTGATTCCACGCTGAGAACAGAGCCCCACATGGGGCTCCACCTCACAACCCTGAGATCCTGACTTGAGCTGAAACGAGGAGTCGGATGCTTAACCGACTGAGCCACCCAGGCGCCCTCACCTGTAAGCTTTCTAAAACCACACATGCTTGGAACCCACCCGAGACTTACTAACTCAGAGTCTCCAACAGTCAGGTGCAGGTGTGTATGCATTGCTAAAACTCTCATAGATGATTGTGATGTGCAGTCAGGTTCGATCCACTACCAAATGAGGCACTTCATGTTATATCATTTCAGCTTCAAACAGCCATAGAAAGTAGGTATTTTGAGCTTCATTTTATAGACAATGAAGCCAAATCTCAGAGAAGCTAAAAACTTGTCCAAGGTCACATAGTTATGAAGGGGCAGAATGAAGTTTCAAATTCAAGCCTTTCTAAGCTATACTCTGTTGGCAAGTAGAGGCCCCCTCAAGTCCTAAAGCACCCTGGCAGGGGCAGGCCATGCTGATGCCCCTGGGGAAGCCCAGATGTCAGCCATTCTCAGAAATCCAGAAATGCCCCTTGGAGTCAGTGTGTCAGGGACTACCCACTGGGCACCCACTGGGCCTGGCAATCGGCTCACCATCCCCGGGCCCTAGTACTTGGTTTTACCCTCAGTCCCCATTCCTAAGCCCTGCCTTCCAGTCCATCTCTGAATAAAGTTATGAGGTGGTCCGTCTTGCTGTAGGCAGACCTTTCAGTAAAACCACATGTTTCCTTAGCAGTGTCAGCATCCCCGCCCTGGATTCCCCATCTCCTTGCTGTACCTTCTCAATGAGATTCTGATCCTTCATCTTGTAGAACCAGCTACCCCAACTCCGAGCCTGAGGCTACACATATTATGCACTTGTTTACTAATTCATTCACAAAGTGTTTCTTTTTTGTTTGTTTCAAGTTTTTATTTAAATTCCAGTTAGTTAACATATAGTATAATATTAATTTCAGGAGTAGAATTTAGCGATTCATCACTTACATGTAACACCCAGTGCTCATCACAACAAGTGTCCTCCTTAATATCCATCATCCATCTAGCTCATCCCCCCTCCTACCTCCCCTCCATCAACCCTCAGTTTGTTCCCTATGGTTAAGAGTCTCTTATGGCTTGCCTCCCTCTCTGTTTTTTTTTTCTCTTCCCCTATGTTCATCTGTTTTGTTTCTTACATTCCACATACGAGTGAAATCATATGGTATTTGCCTTTCTCTGACTGACATATTTCACTTAGCATAATATACTCTAGCTCCATCCACGTTGTTGCAAAAGACAAGATTTCATCCTTTTTGATGGCTGAGTAATATTCCTGTGTGTGTGTGTGTGTGTGTGTGTGTGTGTGTGTGTGTGTGAGAGAGAGAGAGAGAGAGAGAGAGATATCACAACTTCATCTTTATCCATTCATCAGCTGATGGACATTTGGGTTTTTTCCATAATTTGGCTATTGTTGATAATGTTGCTATAAACATTGAGGTGGAGCATGTGCCCCTTAGAATCAGTATTTCTTTTTTTTTTTAATTAAAGGTGACTAATCTTTAATATTCTAGCCAAGATTATCAAGAGTGACCAACTTGGCAGATGGTGACTACATTTATTGTGGTGAGCACTGGGTAATGTACAGAATTGTCAAATCACTGTATTATATACTTGAGACTAATATAACATTGTATGTCAACTGATCTTCAATAAAAAAAAGCAAATAACCAAAAAAAAAAAAAACTATGTCAAACAAAGTGAACAATTTGGAAAACAGACCATTTTATATCTCTAAATATCTTCTTAAACCTTCTATAATGATTGAGAATGATGCATATATAATATCTAAACCAATGTAAAGAATTAAAGCCAGCAGGACTGAGAGTCACTTGAGTACCCACCAAGAACTAAAAACGAGCAAGCTCAACAATCATAGTACCTTCATGAAAATTATGGCAGAGACAATGACGAAGTGAACTCACACTCATGCTTCCATTCTTGTATCTAGTCATGTGTTGTAATGGCCATTTACTCCTGCAAGTATTCAACAAATATTTATTCGCAAGTCCATACGTGGTAAGTGCTTTGAAGAAAAATAGGAGGATTCAACCTGGGAGATTTACCTGTGAGAGGCTGCTTCAGAAGGCTTTGCTGCAGTGGACTCCTCATCAGATGGGAAGGAGCCAGCTATGGGAACCATGACAAGAAGGGCATCAGAGGAAGAGGGAGCAAGATGGACACATTTGCAGTGCAGGAAGGAGCTCCAAGGGGCAGCAGCAAGATGGTTGGCAGGCACATGGCTGGGGTCAACATGTAGCTTTCTGAAGGAAAAAAAGTGAAATATACACATTTTATGAACAGATACTCAATTTAGACTAACTGACTCACACAAAGCCATGAATACTAGAATGGGGCAACAGGAAAGAAAAACAGCAAGGCAGGGAGAAGGCAGAAACAAAGCCCTGGACCGCTTCAGACTCTTCATGCAAAAAGCAGACACTTGAACAGCACTTTCTAAATTGTGTTCTGGAAGTTATTTCATTCATCTTTTCAACAAATGTCTAATACTTGCCTATGTGGTGACATACACTGTTCTAGACTCTGGGGATCCAGTGGCAAATAAGAACCCCTACACCCTTCTCTCTCATCACTGAACACATTCTGATTGCCTGGTTGGGATTTGTCCTTCCTTGTCTTGCCAGATGCCTCCTTGGGAGTCTTTAAATACAGAACAGGAAGCAGAGATAGAAGAACTAGAGAGGCACTGACGAAGCTAGAAGAGGATGCTCCCCTCCTCCTGCCCGCCAAGGATTTTTAAGAAAGAAATAATGCTGCAGTGTGTGAGGAAAACGAACAGGAGAGAAAACCAAGTTTTAAGAAATAAGAAGAAATAGCATAGTTAACGTGTATTGAGCTCTTACTATATGCCTGGCAATATTCCAAATAGTCACATGGATCATCTCATTTAAACCTCACGATGACACTCTGAGGTAGAAACTATAATGCCATCCATTTTATAGATGAGAAAACTGAGACACAAAGAAATTGAGTAACCTGTCCAGGGTTACACGGCTGGTATGCGGCCAGGCTGGGATTTGGTTCCTGTTGGGGAGGCTCCAGAGCTCATGCTCTTTATCATTCCATTATACCGCGTCTTGTACACAAACGGATCTTGACTATCAGAGCCCTTTACGGCATTCATATAATGTAAATTTGAAAACTGCTATTCTGATTTTCTTCTTCTCTTTCAAACTTTCCATTAGACAATAGAACACAGACTCAAAAAAACTGCACAAAGTGTACATATAGCTTAATGAATTGGTATAAGGTGAACACCTTAGCAACCATCATCCCCAAGTCAAGAAATAGAACTTTTCCAGCTATCCCTAGAGCCCCTCGATGTGTCCTGTGCGGGTCGATGAACCTTCCTCTTCACAAATGTACCCACTACCCTGACTTCAATAGGAATCCTATCTTTGTGTTACTTTGCAGCTTCATCGAGTAAGCATGCATCCCTAGGTACTAGAGTCTAGCATTACCCATTTGTAAATCTGACATGCCTTTTAAGTCTCTTCTATTCCACAGGTTCCTTCCTCCACCCCTTTCTTTTGCCTACAACTTCTCTGGAAATTTGACCTGTAGACCTCCTACCTTCAGGACTTTGCTGATTATACATGCATGGGGTAGTTCCCCATGTCCCTCTGTCCTGCAAATGGGCAGTTGGATCCAGAGGATTGTTCAGTCCTGGGTTTGATCTTTTGCAAGATTTTGGTGTTGATTTGTTCTCTCCTCAAGAGTCATGTGATGTCTGCATGTCTCTCTTTTGGGGGTGGGAGCAGCTATTTATGTTCTATTAATTCAGAGGGGGTTGCAGAATGGTAATATTCTATTTCTAGCACTTCTTTTCTACTCATTAATCCATCTGTTGGAATACTTTTATAAATATATGCTTTCCCTCATCTACTATTTGGCTAGTAGGTGATATCATTCACCTAGGAAAAGCAGAATAAATGATTTTTCCCTTTATCTACCAGTTTTCACAAAAATAACTGGTTTCCTATCATACTCTAAAGAGGATCAAGTTTTAAAACTATCATTATGAAGTCATGGATTTAAAGTTATTTGATGGATTTGGGGAGGCTGGGTAGCTCAGTTCGGTTAAGCATCTGACTCAATTTTGGCTCAGGACATGATCTCAGGCTCATGAGATTGAGCCCCACATAGGGCTCCATGCTCAGCAGGAGTTTGCTTGGATATTCTCTCCCTCTGCCCCTTCCCCTGCTCATGTGCATTCTCTCTCTCTTTCTCTCTAAAATAAATAAGTAAATCTTTTTTTTTTTTTTGAGGGGCTAGCATTTCTTTTACTCAAGATTCAATTAAGCCTCCCTGAGTGGCATGGAGCCTGATGACTGGGAATGGAGCCTTTCATTTCTTTCTGTTTTTTTATTATTATGTTATGTTAATCACCATACATTACATCATTAGTTTTTGATGTAGTGTTCCATGATTCGTTGTTTGTGCATAACACCCAGTGTTCCATGCAGAACGTGCCCTCCTTAATACCCACCACCAGGCCAACCCATCCCCCCACCCCCCTCCCCTCTAGAATCCTCAGTTTGTTTCTCAGAGTCCATAGTTTCTCATGGTTCGTCTCCCCCTCCGATTCCCCCCCTTCATTCTTCCCCTCCTGCTATCTTCTTCTTCTTTTTTTTTTTTTTAACATATAATGTATTATTTGTTTCAGAGGTACAGGTCTGTGATTCAACAGTCTTACACAATTCACAGTGCTCACCATAGCACATACCCTCCCCAATGTCTATCACTCAGCCACCCCATTCCTCCCACCCCCCACCACTCCAGCAACCCTCAGTTTGTTTCCTGAGATTAAGAATTCCTCATATCAGTGAGGTCATAAGATACATGTCTTTCTCTGATTGACTTATTTCGCTCAGCATAATACCCTCCAGTTCCATCCACATCGTTGCAAATGGCAAGATTTCATTCCTTTTGATGGCTGCATAATATTCCATTGTGTATATATACCACATCTTCTTTATCCATTCATCCATCAAGGGATATCTTGGCTCTTTCCACAGTTTGGCTATTGTGGACATTGCTGCTATAAACATCGGGGTCCAGGTACCCCTTTGGATCCCTACATTTGTATCTTTGGGGTAAATACCCAGTAGTACAATTGCTGGATCATATGGTAGCTCTATTTTCAACTTTTTGAAGAACCTCCATCCTATTTTTCAGAGTAGCTGCACCAGCTTGCATTCCCACCAACAGTGTAGGAGGGTTCCCCTTTCTCCACATCCTCACCAACATCTGTCGTTTCCTGACTTGTTAATTTTAGCCATTCTGACTGGTGTGAGGTGGTATCTCATTGAGGTTTTGATTTGGATTTCCCTGATGCCGAGCGGTGCTGAGCACTTTTTCATGTGTCTCTTGGCCATTTGGATGTCTTCTTTGGAAAAATGTCTGTTCATGTCTTCTGCCTATTTCTTGATTGGATCATTTGTTCTTTGGGTGTTGAGTTTAAGAAGTTCTTTATAGATTTTGGATACTAGCCCTTTATCTGATATGTCACTTGCAAATATCTTCTCCCATTCTGTTGGTTGTCTTTTGGTTTTGTTGACTGTTTCTTTTGCTGTGCAAAAGCTTTTTATCTTGATGAAGTCCCAATAGTTCATTTTTGACCTTGCTTCCCTTGCCTTTGGCAATGTTTCTAGGAAGAAGTTGCTGCGGCTGAGGTCGAAGAGGTTGCTGCCTGTGTTCTCCTCTAGGATTTTGATGGACTCCTGTCTCACATTGAGGTCTTTCAACCATTTTGAGTCTATTTTTGTGTGTGGTGTAAGGAAATAGTCCAGTTTCATTCTTCTGCATGTGGCTGTCCAATTTTCCCAACACCATTTGTTGAAGAGAGTGTCTTTTTTCCATTGGACATTCTTTCCTGCTTTGTCAAAGATTAGTTGACCATAAAGTTGAGGGTCCATTTCTGGGCTCTTTATTCTGTTCCATTGATCTAAGTGTCTGTTTTTGTGCCAGTACCATACTGTCTTGATGATGATAGCTTTGTAATAGAGCTGGAAGTCCAGAATTGTGATGCCACCAGCTTTGCTTTTCTTTTTCAACATTCCTCTGGCTATGCTTTCTGGTTCCATACAAATTTGAGGATTATTTGTTCCATTTCTTTGAAAAAAGTGGATGGTATTTTGATAGGGATTGCATTGAATGTGTAGATTGCTCTAGGTAGCACTGACATCTTCACAATATTTGTTCTTCCAATCCATGAGCATGGAACATTTTTCCATTTCTTTGTGTCTTCCTCAATTTCTTTCATGGGTATTTTACAGTTTTCTGAGTACAGATTCTTTGCCTCTTTGGTTAGATTTATTCCTAGGTATCTTATGGTTTTGAGTGCGATTGTAAATGTGATCGACTCCTTAATTTCTCTTTCTTCTGTCTTGTTGTTGGTGTATAGGAATGCCACTGATTTCTGTGCATTGATTTTATATCCTGCCACTTGACTGAATTCCTGTATGAGTTCTAGCAGTTTTGGGGTGGAGTCTTTTGGGTTTTCCACATAAAGTATCATATCATCTGCAAAAAGTCAGAGTTTGACTTCTTCTTTGCTGATTTGGATGCCTTTGATTTCTTTTTGTTGTCTGATTGCTGTGGCTAGGACTTCTAATACTATGTTGAATAGCAGTAGTGATAGTGGACATCCCTGCCATGTTCCTGACCTCAGGGGGAAAGCTCTCAGTTTTTCCCCATTGAGAATGATATTCGCTGTGGGTTTTTCATAGATGGCTTTTATGATATTGAGGTATGTACCCTCTATCCCTATACTCTGAGGAGTTTTGATCAGGAAAGGATGCTGTACTTTGTCAAATGCTTTTTCTGCATCTATTGAGAGGATCATATGGTTCTTGTTCTTTCTTTTATTAATCTATTGTATCACATTGATTGATTTGCAGATGCTGAATCAACCTTGCAGCCCAGGGATAGATCCCACTTGGTTGTGGTGAATAATCCTTTTAATGTACTGTTGTATCCAATTGGCTAGTATTTTGGTGAGAATTTTTGCATCCATGTTCATCAAGGATATTGGTCTGTAATTCTCCTTTTTGATGAGGTCTTTTCTGGTTTTGGGATCAAGGTAATGGTGGCCTCATAAAACGAGTTTTGAAGTTTTCCTTCCATTTCTATTATTTGGAACAGCTTCAAAAGAAAAGGTATTAATTCTTCTTTAAATGTTTGGTAGAATTCCCCGGGAAGCCATCTGGCCCTGGGCTCTTGTTTGTTGGGAGATTTTTGA